GGATAATAGTTAATATGTGGAGTAATGCATTATTGATGATTATGGATGTTGTCCTTATAAGGGCATTGTCTAGTACATTCATTTAGTACCACTACAAGATTCATCCAACAAAGGGAAGAAAAAGCCTTGTGGTCGGTGAGTCCAATTCACTCGTTTTCTATCTAAATTGTCCAGGTCAGCATTATTAAAGTGGATTTCATAAAACCGTGAAATACACTTTAGCGAATTAAACTACACTTTTTGCAGTTTTTTTCTTGATCTTTTCAGTGTATCACACGTATTACACTTTTAAGGGTTTATGAAACACGCTCAAGTGAAGTTAGTATCTATGTACAACCTATGTTACTTATAAATGTTTACTGGCTCGCTTCGTCAGCGAGGGCCGTCTACCAATGTCTACGTCTTGATATACATGTATGTTTTCTCGAGTTTGAAACTATAAGATCGCAAATCCGTGAAACACAAATTACTATTTAGCTGTATACAAGAAGTGAAAAACTATAAAAACTATAAAAATTAAAGTGCTATAAATTGCATTGAACTAGATTGAAGTCATTAAGCCCGTGAAACAAAAGCTGACTATTTAAGTGTGATAATCAAATAGACACAAAAGAAAACAATGTAATTAGAGCGTGCTAAAGTGTATTAGTGTAATATCTATTTCACGCATATCAAACAATTGCCCCCACAAAGTTATCCTTCGTTTAGCACCCATATATGGTAATCTTACCTTATTTGGAAGTTCGATAGGAATGGTTTTTGTCGATTTTCTCGCCTTTTAAAGCTTTAAATCGTCGAAAACTTGCAGATATTATAGCGAAAACACTTCTAAACAATCCGCCATTTTGTTTGTTCCCATATATGGCATGGATTCGCTAAAGGAAGCCCAAAACTAAAAAGCACAGGGAACCCGCACGAATGATATACAATTCTTTGATATGGGTTTTTTGACTTCAATCTGTGCAAATTCCTTTGTTTTCTACTGTCTAATCTACTCTATATTGCGCTATTTAGCACTATTTGGTAAGTACTCTTAACGAKTTTAGCTTTTACACCTTAGCTATTCACGGATTATCGTTTGCACCTAAAATCATTGACTWATTTATTAATTTATTACTATTTACAAAACTATGTTAAGGATCTTTCTGCAATASATGCAGTTATATCCCATTTTTTTCTCTTTTTTTCTTTTTCATTTCCTACTTAATAATATTTGTTAAGTTTCAATCATTTCCTCATATTGAGGATACAAGGTTTAGATCAACGACAATGCATTGGAAATATATAATATCATAAATCTAGGTAAGAGTAATKTGCATACTTGTGGATTCGTTTGTGACGACAWTAGCTAACTCGTGGATATARGGAACCAATGTGGATTGAAGAAAACTGGACTAAACTGGATAAAACGGCGAATTTCCATGTTCTTCCTTATAAGTGTGAATASCAAATGTTCCCATATCTTAATTCACAGCTGTCAAGAACTGTACGTCTAAAGCGCTTTTATTTGGCGCGCCGCCTCGGTTTGATTGCTCTTTAGCCTCGCTTTGAAGCCACGTTAATATTGTCATTCTTAAGTGACGTCACTTTTATCAAGTCCTCGGGCACACCCAGTAGTCAATTCTGCATTTGATGCTTCCGCCTGATTTACCGGCTGAAGATGAAGATTTGCCGCTGCAGTTACAAACGTATACCGTTGAATTTCTAACAACTTCGAGGTTTGTTTCGTCTCCTCCTTCAGTGGAACACGTGACTCCAGTAACAACTTCAGYCTGTGCAAAGAAAACGTCTAAATTTTATAAACTCCTAAATGCATAATGCTGTATATGTAATCTCTCACTTTTTGTCATCGATTCAACTTTAATAAGGAAGGGGGCTAACTAGAAAACTGAAAAGTTAATAGTCTCCTTCACGGTTACCTRCGCCATCTTGAAAGGTAGCGGTGCCTTTGCATCGAAGCGAGACAACCGTTGAGTATGCAATGATAGAAACCTTCTTTCACACCTATAGACAATTATTCACAGGTTTCTATCATTGCACGCTCAACGGTTGTCTCGCTTCGATGTAAAGGCACGGCTACCTTTCAAGATGGCGCAGGTAACCGTGAAGGAGACTATTTAGTTTTCTGTCTCATCTATACCAAATTAGGAAAACTTAAATTTATAAGACACTTCTCACTTGATTTACATTTACCTAATACAATGAAAAAAATTGTAACAACAATAATCCAGTTTCGACTTCTCCAATGCTCTGTGTTAGCCTCATTTGCGCGTAAAATATTCCTAATTGTGAGAATAAAAGTGTGAGATTTCAAATCAATTCTATTATCTTTCTTTTCAAATTCCATACGTTTTCTTGGGCTACCCATGAAACAAAAGAATATGTTACTTGGTTTTGAGGCTAACACAGAGCAATCGAAAACTCGAAATCGGAGTATTGAAGAGAGAAATAAACTATATTCTATTCTATGCATAAGCAGGTAATCCCAGCAATAAGTCGATAAAATGCTGNAATGATAGAAACCTTCTTTCACACCTATAGACAATTATTCACAGGTTTCTATCATTGCACGCTCAACGGTTGTCTCGCTTCGATGTAAAGGCACGGCTACCTTTCAAGATGGCGCAGGTAACCGTGAAGGAGACTATTTAGTTTTCTGTCTCATCTATACCAAATTAGGAAAACTTAAATTTATAAGACACTTCTCACTTGATTTACATTTACCTAATACAATGAAAAAAATTGTAACAACAATAATCCAGTTTCGACTTCTCCAATGCTCTGTGTTAGCCTCATTTGCGCGTAAAATATTCCTAATTGTGAGAATAAAAGTGTGAGATTTCAAATCAATTCTATTATCTTTCTTTTCAAATTCCATACGTTTTCTTGGGCTACCCATGAAACAAAAGAATATGTTACTTGGTTTTGAGGCTAACACAGAGCAATCGAAAACTCGAAATCGGAGTATTGAAGAGAGAAATAAACTATATTCTATTCTATGCATAAGCAGGTAATCCCAGCAATAAGTCGATAAAATGCTGTTCACCTTATCAATAGTAACTGTGACATAGACCAGTGAATTACTTCCTTTAGCACCGGGTTTTTCATCATGTTTGTGTACACATCTAGAAAAATTTGCTCCTGATCCAGAATCTCCTTTTGGCCCGGCGGGCCCCACCTGTCCTTGAGGCCCTGGAGGCCCTGGAGGCCCTGGAGGACCCGGTTTACCGCCAGTTTGATTTAGCTTATTCACCATTTCTGTGATTTCTTGGATCTAAGGATAAAGAAATGAATTATTAGTCAAACTCTGACACCAAGTTGAAGGTTCGCAGACGATAAACTGTGAACGTGTGTATATTATCCGTCTAGGGATTCACACATCGACACTTGATAAAAGTTTAAAGGGACACGGACAACCAGCATACATTACGGCCGTAAATGGAAAGTTGATCAGTTAACAGAGTCTGGAAATTAACTGTAAATTATTCAATTTACAGACAAAATGTCCCTTAACAAACTTTGTAAATTGATTTTACAAGATATTTAYAATGTTCGATCAAGCAAAATTTACAAGATATTTACAGAATGTAAATATAATTTACAACCTTTGCAAAAGGACACTTTGTCTGTGAATTTAGTTTACAGTATATYTACATATTATTTACAAACTCTGTACTATCAACATTTCCAGTGATATTTTCCTTAAAGGAAAATGGGGTGACCTCAAATATCAACTCGCAATCAGTTTCCATCGKTTAGTTTTCACTGGAAAAAATCGCGCGCTTTAAAGGTTGTAAATTTGATGTAAATTTGATGTAAGTGTCCAGAATTCTGTAAATTTAATGGAAATCATTTACATCAAATTGACCGAATTTTGGACACTTACATCATATTTACATCAAATTTACGAGCTTTAAAGCGCGCGATTTTTTCCAGTGTTTAAGAGGAAATTTACAACTTCTCCATAGGAGATGAGACTCGTGTGCTTTAGTACTGATGGGTAACCTCCTCCGAAGACGTCCCTGTCACTGGAAAAAATCGCGCGCTTTAAAGGTTGTAAATTTGATGTATATATGATGTAAGTGTCCAAAATGATGTAAATTTGATGTAAATVATTTCCATCAAATTTCCATCATTTTGGACACTTACATCATATTTCCATCAAATTTACAACCTTTATGCCGCGCGATTTTTTCCAGTGTGTAGAGTCTTTTACAAGGAACATCTGCGTATGGAGCTAGTATAGGTTAGTACCTTGGATGCTACATTTGAACTCATAATGCTCAAGTTCGTCTTCACATCTTCATCGAACTTTTTCAGTCCACTGAAACTAGCAATGAAACCGACATCAGTAGTCTCTAGTCCCTTGAYCGTCAAATCCAAGTCCGCGTCCTTCTTCTTAAGGGCAGCCAGTTCCTTCTTCGTCAGAAAGTCGGACTGAATTAGATTGCTTACTTCTGATTTGTACAAAGAGTCATTTAAGCTTAAGAAGGTAACGTTTACTGACAATCCATTGACCTTGTGGTCGAGCGCTTTTATCTGAGTGCCTGTGGATTTATCTTTTGACTTTAAGTCATCTAGGGTCGTGGTGAAGTCGTTTTGCTTGTTGCGAAGTGCCAGCACTTCTTTGGTAATGTTTTGGAGCTTAGTTAATTGGGATTCCTGTGGAGAAAATAGAGGTTCGGTTACATGGCTCACGGCAACAAATTAACAATTTTTCTATTAAAATAACGCGGCTTGAAGAGAATCTTCAGGATTCTTGTGATTCTCTGATAAAACAATATATCTTAATGTCACGCTTGGACTTTCCCCTTTTCAAAGCAAAAAATTGGGGATATATAGAAATAGTTGTGTACGAAGATAAATTAACACGGTAAAAAATAACTTACTGACGTTTCGGACTTTCCTTCGTCGGAGTTAAGAGGAAGGATTAACGTCCGAAACGTCAGTAAGTCATTTCACCTACTTTTTAACAATGTTAAATTCATCTTTTAACACAACTGTTTCCGCTAGAAACACCGACGCAGCTCACACTAGTTCTCAYCATTTTGAAATATAGAAATGCAGACGTCGCTATTCACTAGTCACGTGACTAACCTTATCGTTATTGTTTAAGTTATTTAACTTTTCCTTGAGCTCGCTTATCTGTAAGGAAAACATACWGTGATAAGTGAAAAGTTGAGTTTCGCGATCTCTTTTACAGTGTGTTAGCATCAGTTGTGTGTAAAATATGTAGAAATTTATGAAAATCATGAGGTTTCAAACTATTTTCATTGTTTTCTATGCTCACAGATCTTTTGCATATGCAGGGGCTGTTACTGAATAAATAGAGGATATTACACGGTGGCGCGAAGATATGGATTTTATTTTCTCACGCTCACTCGTGAGAGATTTTCAACACGAGAAAATAAAATTCGTATTTCAAAGTGTCCATTTAATATTCTGTTGATCATATATATGAAAGCAAATTATGTTTTAAAGTAAATTTTATTATAAAAGAGTAAATTACATGGTTTTGGGGCTACTAGAGAGTAAAAGAGGTTGAAAAAGGATTTATTGCCTATTTAGATAAGTAAACAAATAAAACTGATWTATAACATACTATTAACTTTTAATAATTACCATTTTGTCCTGSTTCGTCAATASTSCCATTAGGAAAGTGTCTCTCATAAWCTATYACACAAACAAACATACATACATAAGTTAGATTAAATTAACCACCATCGAATTCTCGACATTCTTGTGGGATTCCTGTGCTTTAGTTCTGAATCCACGYCATATATGGAAAGAARCAAGATGGCTGATTATTGAAAAGCCTTTYATAGCTTTAAAATCTGAAAGTTTCCAGCAATTTGAAGGTTTTAAAATCGAGAAAATTTCTCAAAAACGAGTCCACAAGAGCTTCCAAATAAGGCAAGATTAATATATATGTGACTGCTAAACGAAGATGAATATTTTAGGATAAATAATTTATATGAATCGTCAGTTAAGTTATCTTCATTCATAACAAAAATCCTCATTATTGTCTTTCCAATGACTTCTAGTGTAAAATCAGAATTTTGCTTGTAGGTGCCAAAAGCGACTGCTCACTTTTGTTCAAATGTAACCTGTGTTGAATTAGGGATTACCATGTGTGCWMAAAYCTTTRATYATATCAAGTTCTTACCAGTTTTGAGATGTTCTTTTTCAACATCTCGATCTCTTCGTGGTAGTTTTCGCTGCTTATGACAGGTTTGTGGATCTTRGTCAGATACTTCTGATTGACAGGTGCTGTAACGAACACAAAACACTACTTTTATACACAATTAACTATGAATCGATACAAGTTGACAATTTAAAATGGACTGATGTAGATTTATCTTAATACTGACAAATTGTGTCGAAATAGCCAATATTTGTTACTATTTAGTTTGGTTTTTATTTTATTGTTTTTCTGCGTTTGGTCTAATCAGATACCCATATGATACGACCGCCATATTGAATTAATTTATTCATCAAATACAGATAAGCCGACTGCCATTTTGAATTAATTTATTCCAAAAAGCAACGATATGTCATCTAGTTTGAATTAGTTTATATATCAAATATCCATATGACCGCTAAAATTAACAGCATGTAGTACGTCTTACGCTGAATTGCACGGAAATGTCAGGGCCATAGAATASATGCACTAAATCCGTGAAACRRATATYAYTATTAACTACTACTAAACGTTTTCATTGGACGAGAAAAGAGAATAATTAARCAAATATATAATATATTGCACTATTTTTGAGGCTTCACGGATTAAGCTAATGTACTCATATCAATCGACAGGCAATTCCAATTATTAAGTTATTTAACGCCGATATGGCCGCTGGTAAGCAGAAATATTGTATGCCATAAGTCGCATCAATTCACAGACTAGGGATTGTGTGGTCTTGTTATTTTRCTGTTAGTATACAATGCCAGCATGCTCAAGCTTAACATCGTCCGTTAGGCTCTGGATTATGGAAAACAAATGAATGACCCCCGATACGAGCTTAACCTTGGGCAATGCCACCATGAAGAGAKCATGTGTTAATGATTATAYACTTYTCGTAATATACAGAAACTCRTTATTCCGGCCACCAAAGGGACATCRAAAAGTGRTCGTATTAACCGTGCAGAAAAGGGACATCGAAAAAYGGTCGTTTTAACGGAGTGGTCGTATTAGCCAGGCAGAAAAGGGACATCGAAAAGTGGTCGTATTAACCGTGCAGAAAAGAGACATCGAAAAATGGTCGTTTTAACGGAGTGGTCGTATTAGCCAGGCAGAAAAGGGACATCGAAAAGTGACCGTATTAACCGTGTAGAAAAGGGACATCGAAAAATGGAGTGGTCGTATTTACGGAGTGGTCGTATTAACCCGGAAGAAAAAGGACTCGAAAAGTGGTCGTATTTACGGAGGGGTCGTATCAACCATCCACTCAGAAAAGTCATGGCAGTTGCATTTGGCGTATTCTAAAATTCTGGCCGTTATAACGGATTGTCCGTATATACGTACGTATGTAACCGCGTGTACGCAAGAACCCCACATAACGAACGATATCGTGAGGATATGAAATATTGTTGTATAATTCAATCGCAAATTAAACATGACTGCAGGCAAAGGTTAATGTAGATTTTCAATTTTGGMGGGAAATATTTAGCGCAAGAAAATTTGCAATCATCAATTTCAAATCAAATTCATATTAATGAATTAATGAATATCTTTAACGTGAATTGACTCAAGAGTCAAACAGATTTAGATGTTGAATATCCTGTCGGTTTAATAAGTGTGTTGACATTTTTTAGAGAATAATCGTAGATAGGCCTGGGCAAGAGCTGGAGCGTCAAGGTTAAAGGGTCAGCTTCGGTTTATGCGCTTAAATTGTATAGGACACTTTTTATCTATTCGAAAAAAAAATTAGGCCCGTTATGTAACGATGACYCACATCACATGGCAGTCAAGAATCATAAGACAAAACATGTTTCAAAATACAGAGTCACYGACATCAAAAATCTTTGACATTTCATATCAATAAATCGATTTTCCTGTTTCGCTTACTTTGTACACTTTGAAAACTTCTGATAAAATGTAATAATAAAAACTAAAAAAAGCTAAAAAAACGTATCATTAGGCACATTCTCGGAAAGTTTGACAGTTTTTTAKAAGAAAAGCGTGCTAGTTTGTTCTTCATTGCTTTGATAACGGATTATCTGAATATTTTAGAATACTCAAGTTTCGAGCTTTCTTTTGTGCAAGCTTACATACAATCAAGCATAACTTTTTATTGCCTTCTTTGTACAGAGTGTTTGCATAACAATAGATTCTCTGCTCAATAAAATAATATATTACACGCTGTCGAGGTTAAGGCTGCACAAATATGATCTCGAAACTGGAGTATTTGAGTGGATGTTTCGCCTGTGGTGAAAAGAACATTGTTAGAAAAGTTAAACAGTGTGCATATCGTGCCTAAAAAATTCAATCCAGAGTAAGCATACGGAAAAAGGGATTATCTTCGATACGCTTTCAAAGATGGCGTCGTCCGGCCTTAGGTGGTGTTCAATATGTGATGCAAGACACTTTCCGTAATACGTCTGGGGAAATGACCACTTCAAATACTCTTTAAAACCCTACACGTGTTTCAACATGCATTTAGCACTCTAGTACTTATAYAGTAAAGAGGACAGTGACATTTTGAGTTTCAAGACCAATGCCAGCATAAAAAAAAACAGCAAACGTCAAAGTGCTGAAGGATGCCAAAGATCGATTTTCCAAATTTGACAATGTTTTATTTCGGAAACCAAAGCCGAAAAGGAAAATCTCATGCTGTGTATGTACTTCTAGGACTGGATTTACTGGAAATAGAGGAAAACTTAAGTTGTGAAAATAAACATTGCAGACCTTGGGAGGTAATGCATACGTCTGATCGCCTCTAATCTTTAGTTATTTTGGTTTATTCATAAATCCAATTGCGTAAGAATTGAAATTCGGATGAAATTCCCATTAAGGTTACAGTTCAAAYGATTTCGCAGAACTAATCTATGGCGGCAGTAAATAAAACACTATACATATGGGAAGTGCGCGAGGATGTACAAACTTGAGCAACCTCAAAATAGAAAAGTTTGTAGAATAAAAATAACTTTTCTTCTAACTTATTTTCAGTAAGTCTTAAGTGACTTCCACAAGGTACTTCTAAGCCTGCGTAAATTCATGTGAACTGAGCCAAAACTTTGCTCTTTGCGAATAGTCCTAAAGATATGATTCAAACTGCCTTGTCGATCTATTTGTGGTGTGCAATACATACTTTTTATTTTTATGCTTATGAACATGCTATTTTTTTTTTCAAAACATCAATCAGTCCATTCTTCGTCATTCTATGGACAACAATAATCATATAAAAATGTTTCGTGCGAGATCACTTTTGTTAAGCAAACTTAAAAAAAGTTTCAAGCTGAACAAGTTTTTTTTAATTAAGGCTACGTAATAACAAATGGTTGCAACTACGTTAATACGACATTAAAATACAGTAATGGAATGACGAAATCAATACCTAAAATAGCGGAAAAGAAGTACGAAACCCCCTGACGTCCCCCCCCCCCCCCCCCGAAAAAAAATCCATTCACGTGTTGTTTAAATGATCGATTCACTCTATCAAAGGGCAATATTGAACATGGTCTGATGCAGTTGAGAATTCTGTAAAGGATTCGAAAAACAAAGTCCAAAATAACATTTTCATCCCCTTTCTTGTAACAAAAAGTGATCTCCCTGACCTAACCCTCCCTGACCTTGAATCACGAGTTGCATGGAAGACCGATTCATCCTATCAAAGGGCAATATTGACCATTGGTCCGTTGCATGTGAAACTTCCTTAAAGAAATTGAAATCAAAGTCCAAAAAAATATTTTCATCTACTTTTTTGTTGCTACAAAGGTATGATCCCTCCTGACCTCTATGCGTTGCATGAAATATCGACCCATTGGGTCCAGAGTATGTGAGATTTCCTTAAAGTCCAAAGAACATTTTCATCCACTTTTTCTTTCTACAAGGGTTTCATAATTGCATGGAAAATAAACCATATGAAATTCCATTAAAGAGCAATTTTGACCAGGAGCCTAACGCATGTGCGATTTATACAAAGAAGTCGGAAAACAAAGTTCAAAGAACATTTTCACCAACTTTTACCTAGTACAGTCTCAATTAAGTCTGTCTCCCGTCGAGAAGGAGACTAGATAAGCTAATCATAAGAACATTATGACCATTAGAGCTATTATTGGAAAGACCAACTTCATGACCATCAGAACTATTCAACAAATACTTTGAAAAGCTATCAAAATACTTGTACTAAACCATTGACGCAATGTGTCCTTATATCTGTGAGGTACTCGGACATAACGACCAATTTTAAGATTATTCTGTACATTTTAGAAGCATTCGATGAAACTTCGGATGACGTCAATGAGATCAAATGAGATCTATTTTACGACATACCGAACCCACGCGGRAAACAGGAATTTGAGCCAATTAAACAACTAAAAGTACTTAAGTAAGTCTGACAAAATATAAGATTAAACAGGTTAATACAGGAATATAACAGGTTGATGGACTTATGACTTGCAAAAAGATATGGAACCAATATTCATTATTAAAAAAAATGTGATTGATATATAAGATAGCTGACTGACATSTAGAACTTGATAGCCTCACGCAATATTACWAAAAGTCGAAATAAGTCCTCTTTGAGACTGTAAGGAACAGAGAAATAATGTTCAGTCAAAAAGTCGTATAGCAAAGACTGTATTTAATAATTAGAGGACGGACAGGCAAATAATTATACTACCACACACCCTATTATCTTTGAAAGCCAATCGACCCAAACTCGACCACAAGCGTCTATTCTATGTCTGTCATGCATAGCATGGGACGTGATGGCATTATACGGTAAACAAGCTAAATATAACAACTTAGTGTCACGGAACACACATAAGGTACAAAAAAGGTCTTTTTAGATACATGCTCAGCTGTAGATCACTTCAAAAGTTTCTAAATATTAGTTTTTTGATGTCAAAGACGTGCAATAAAACAGGAAAAGAGGCTTTTCCTAACTTTTCCGGTTTTGGGATGATATTTGATATCTTCGGAGCATATGCCTCCGTCTATCAGTAGAGTGCTTCGTAAACGTTTGACTGAGAAAGTGAAGTATATTTGAGCGATAGCATGGCTAGCCTGAGTTCAGCCGATCTATTGAATGTTCTGTTAACACGAAAGCACTTCACAAATAGTTATTTAAGGATAGCTTTTGAAAATAACCATTTGGACAAAGGATATCTTTAGTGGATCACCAAAAGTTTCGGTGAGGAGAGTGATGGAGAAAAAGCTTTAATCGAGAACCGCATTACCCTGGAATGAGTTAATAAATTTGACTAAATAAAGGCGCGTGATTGCGTAATTCAAACATTTCTGCGCGGAAAAATGTGCGAGTTGTTTGCTAACGGAACCGCATTATTTATTTCAGAGGACATCGAATTAATTGAATGTCTTAAAGCAATTACTTGATGATACTATTAAAGGATTCAATGGCAAAAATATCAAGTAATCGTACGACAAATARGTAATCCAACTTCTAAATCCATAATCCTTGCGTTTTAGCTCCTGTAGGGCGGGGTCCAATTTCACAGAAAAAAACTAGCTTCATTCAAAAGTGGCCAACGAAAAAGGAATTCAAAACTAAACAAACAGCTTACAAAACTAATCCTTTAAATCATCGTTAACTAAAACCTGTGCGTTCAAGTTTTTCGAAGTATTTCGATTAATTCCGCTTTTAACTGGTATTCACTGCACATGCTGAGAGCAAAAAATCCTCTGACGCAACGATACTAGCCCTCTCCGTCTGGAAACAAACAAGAAAACCCTTTACTGGCATCAATCTTTTGAGTACAAAACCTTGCTGTACACGTGTAAAAAGCTGGTTTACCATTACGGAATTCTCGGTAAACYAGTGTCGCATTTCTTTGCCGATTTGGTGTCAAAGAAGTTCCGGTGTCGCACAGGACGATCTCATGTAGTTCAAGGTGTGATGAGAATCTTGGGATTCGCTCCGCTACGTTTGTGCAGATTCCTAAGAAACGCGGTATCCGATCGGAAATGCTATGAAAGAACGTATTTTAGGCCTTAGATGTAAACAATACAACGTGGTTGTATGGCGCCGCCGGCAAATGAATGTCAACGTGGAAATCGAAGTATTTCATTGATAAGGCGGCCCGGCAGGATTAACGTTATTGGTTCTTTATGATTTACGTTCATGTTTTCGAAATATCCGAGGTCTATCGGTACAAAAAATCGCTAGCCAATGMTCGCTACGCTCATAAATAGAAAAACATATATCTGATAATAAATATTTTRGAAAGGCGCRTATTCGCGCAGCTCATTATAGGACGTCTGTCTAGATACTGCCTATACTTCATTTACTAACATTCAGTCTTTCAGTCATTAGCCATAAAACCTTAAATAACTCTCATAATATTAGAAAAAATTATTGTGTCAAACCATACAAATGTGCCTTACCTTGTTTTGAGTCGCATGAAGAACATTTAGGCCCCAGAAAACCAAACACCATTAACACAACAAGAGTCAGAGAAGCCAAGGAGATGAGCAAGATGAACACAAGGAGCAAGTCTTTGCCTCGGGTTCTTTTGGAGCGATGGTAATGATGCTCAAAACTGCCCGTGCTAGTGGAGTCATCGGAGCACTCGGTCATTTGCCTCTTTCGATGCATCTCCATACGTTGTGGCATTGGAGAAGGCGGTATTGGGGTGGATGACTCGTAAATTACGTTCGGCTGTTTGCGCGGGCCGGCGGTTCTGTAGAGATCTAAGTCCTCATAGTCAGGGCCGTTACTCAGTGTGTCAGCGTTTTCATAGCCAGCGTTAGTGTAGTGTAAGGGTCGTCTGGACGATGATGAAGCCATAGAGAGAGATGGCGAATCGGGCACTTGGGCGCGAAGCCCTGGCCTCATCATGATCAAGTCTTTGSTCGGTTTCTGCTTGCGTCCGTCCATAATTTGAAAAGAAATTCTATAAAAAAATTATAAAGCAATGCTTAAATTTTGAAGTTCGTTGTTTGGAAACAACGTTGTCTTTGTGAGTGATAGAGTTAGAATGCTTATGATTATAGCGCTAGCGTGGTCTGATTAGATTTGCGYCGTGCACAGTGTTTTCATTCATTCTATTATTTGAAATCTGATCACGGAGTGTTGTGATTGGTCCAAAATTCGTCACGCAAGAGGTTGCGTGACATGTACACGTAGGTACGTATTCTTTTCGAACTTTTTTGAAGCGCCGTTTCGATTGAATAACAAGGTATCTTAATATGTTAAATTATCTTATAATTCGATTTTAACAATAAACAAAATTGATTTCATAAATCTTCAACGTCTTTATTGAAGAGCGACGCTCGGAGACTGCAGATTTACTGTAACGCAATATCAACAACTATTCACGCAATAAGGTTTCGCAAGGTGATTACGTGCGTGACCCTTCTGACTACGTACGTAGTTACGAAACTCGGAAACGTATGCCSAAAATCATGCCGCGATAGACAGGTGATGTGCTTCTGATATTCACAATACCACTCAACACTGAAAACACCAAAACAAACTTCGAAGATGTTTATACATAGTTAGGAATAACCTGCCTGAGCAGCGCAGCATTGATCGTTTTCAACCATTCCTATGAGATTTACAAAAGATAAAAGACCGACGGACATTGTGGAGGAATGAGCACTAGATACTAATGAGAAATCCTTTAATTAAAGTACCTCCAAGATGGCCGCTGTGACGTAGCTTGAAAACGAAGAACAAAGTACAAAAGAAATTATCCTAAAAATATTGGACAGAACACCTCAAAACTCTAATGGTCTGTCGCTTGCAGGCAAACAATGATCAATTTTATTCGACACCTTGCAGCGTCCGGTGAACCGAGTGTCGCAAGGAAGGGACCCCGACAGTTGAGGGCAACCAGGGGTGAGCGTATGCAAATGATGGTGCAAGAAAGACTAAAACCATTAACACTTTTTTTTTTGTATTAATTCTGAGGAAACCAAACATTTTCATACTTCAGAGAGGTAATTTCCTAAATTTTACTAAAAMGAAATAAGAATTTCACTTGTTGCGTGAGACAGTACCTGGTAGCCTCTGTTGGTGGTTATCGCCCCGAGCAGTTGTGACATGAACCGTAAAAAAAATATTATTAATAAATGCTGCATGTTTCTTAGAAATATTGCTCTTATTCTCATGATTAATTGTAGAAGAAAATATAAATTGTATGAATTTGATTGAGAATTGCGTGACAAATGCGTCAAATTAGAGAGGGTTTCGTCTCCACGCCCKTATTCACCCGTCCCGGACGCGGACGCTCGATAATGAATATTCCATGTGTTCATCGTATTCTTAACTTGTCGAGTAAAAACGTGATTAAAGGAGAATTAAAAACATTCAATAAAAAACGTGTTTGAAATTATCTTTGGAAATCAATGGAAGAAAATAGAGTTTCTGCTGTTACAAATTCACGGTTCCTGCCGCCATCTATAGCCGTGCCTTTACATCGAAGCGATGTTAATAGAAACCTTCTTTCACACCTACAGAAAAATATTTCCAGGTATTTATCATCGCACGCTCAACGGTCGTCTCGGTTCGATGTAAAGGCACGGCTACCTTTCAAGATGGCGCAGGGAACCATGAAGGAGACTCAGTTGGGATTTCTCGTAAAAGAAGGCTTTCATATGTGGAAAAAGCATTTCGAGTTCTGCTGTAGTCTTCATGCAGCAAAGTAAGCTTTCTAGCAAGAAATTAGACAGGGAATCGATGTTAGGTCGTCGGAGATACTTCATGCACAGACTTAAGTCCAAGAAATACGAGATACAAAAAGACTTGTTGCGCAGTCATTGAAACGCAGTCAAGTTTAGTTTCAGTGTTTCTTGTTTCTATGTTGTTGTTGTTTTTTCTTCTACTTCTTTTTCTAAGACAAGGTTAGCAACGAGAAACATTGAAAATTGGCAACAACAAGTTTACACGATTTTTTTTTTTTTTTTTCGTTTCTGGATCAGTAAAAAATGTTGAAAATAATCCAATTGCCTGAAGCCTAAAGTTCGGTCCTAGTCGTGTCGTTAGTTGAAAGGTCTGATGTTAATTCATGGATGTCGCTATCGTGTCGTTTCCGGGGGACGAGGAGGGGGCGTAAGATGCAGTGCCGCGCGAWTGTATTCTATAGCTTTCAAAACAGCCTTGCATTTTAAAAATAGCCTTCTGCCTGAAGCTTAAAATGTGGGTCTATTCTTGTATTTAGTGTAAAGCTATTGTGTAATTTGTGGACGTTGCTGCCGGAGTGCTGGAGTTTCAGCACCGGGGGGGAGTGAGGTGGGGGAGGGGAGGGGAGCCGTTGGGGGCGGTGTTGTGTGAGTCACTTCTGTGCCTTGACAAATAAGCGATTCATCTTACAAGAATTCCTCAATCAGTGTCTATTCCAGCGGAGAGTTAAACGAATTGTTCAATTAAGAGTCAGATTTCCTCAATTATTCATGGAAGGACAATATACCCCCGTGGAYTTCWTGGTGRWTAAGCGGATACTATGGTCTCACTGGTTTCCAATATTTCATTATAAATACTCTGGTTTCAAATTCTCCGCTTGTACAGGCACAATCTCGTTGGCGGAACATTCGCATTGCAACCTGCCGTGAAGGCTGCGTGTATGGTTTGCAGAAACTATTTTTATCTTCTCTGTCATACACAATATCCTCCCCAAAATCTCTTAAACAGCCAGAGTCTACACTGAATACGAAAGAGGCATGTCACAGTAATAATCCGCGACTAATCCAACAGACATTTAGGAAAGGAGACTAAACAAGTTCCGTCGTTATATAGATGATAGTTAAAAACCTTTAAGGTGTTTAGTTTAGTTAGGTCTTACATCAGGTCTTAATTTTCTTGATTCTGGACTATAGGAACCTACACTTTGAGAAGAATATTATATAGGTTGCTATATAAGTGATAGTTTACACAACTTAAGGTGTTACACCTTACGCTAGTTAGATTCTTAAAAAAGGTTCTTYATTCTGGAGAGTAGTAGATATAGCTAAGCTGCAAAACATGGCGGTCGTTCGCTAATTCGCTATCAGTTTCCAACACCGCTTTCATGCACTTAAAACAACAACAACAACACCAACAACAACAGCAAAAACAACAAACATGTTTTCTAAGAATATCAAAACATATTAAAACACTATAAATCTAGATAATTTGTCAATCTGTTTTTTATTAAAAAAACTTGCATTGCAACTGCAATGTACTATGACTAAGCGAAAATAGGAGGGGTTATAAAGTCCAAGATTTTACGCAAAAAGGTTCTTGCTTTCCAGGTCCTTATTCGCGGGATTTTACCGCATCTCTGCATAACGYATTGGGTCATAGACAGACGCCCGAACTTTGTTCAGTCACAATACAGTCATGAGCCGATCGCTAAACTGCGGGTTCAGTCGCGACCTATTCGCTAATATCAATTACATTTTCAAACGTGCTGAGCTAACCTTCGGCCGACGGCTTTTTCTCATTGAGAGATAGCACACTAATTAATTTTGAAGGATGTCAGAGTGCATAAAATTGCAGTCAAATTTCGTGACAAACGAAAAGGGAAGCWCATCATTGCAATGTAGTTTGCGCAATTGGTCATTAAATTTAAATTATTGACATTTTAAAGTCTTTATGTAATTTACAAGAAACCGCAGCAYGTTTTAATATTTATTTTATCTTATCTATGTTGTATTGAGGTTATTGCTGTTGTGTATTTTCCCCTCGAAATCAGAATYCTTCGTTCTCACTATACGTCACAGCGGCCATCTTGGAGGAACTTCAACAAAGGATTTCTCATTAGTATCTATTGTTCATTCCTCCAGCATGGAGGCCGATCTTTTATGTTTTGAATCTCACAGGAATGGTTTTAAAACGATCAATGAGGAGTACAATGGTAAAGAAACATGCATAGGATGGAAAATATCAGTCAATGAAAGGCTTTGAGACAAGAATGCTGAGCTTTGGATGTTACTACATGAAAACGTTTCTTTTATCAGAGTAGTTAAGAGAAAGCTTCCCAATCATAGAAAAATGCTGCTTGCTGCAGGCTATTGCCACCCATGGGTTAAACGGTGAAGGTCTTTTCTMGACTTCAGACAGCTTGTTGTTGTTTAGACGCAAAGACAATGTGATCAGTTTATTTTGAATTAAAAGGTACAAATGTCAAGATGACGCCCTTATAGTTTTTTTGTTTTTGTTTTTTTTTTTTTACAATTGTTTTAGCCCGCAAAAACACGTTGTACTATTATACTAAAATGTTCTGGAATTGTAGTGCACCATGAGACTTTAATCCTTGTTTTTCCAGTAATCACAACCGAATCACCACAATCGCTAGTTTGCAAAGCCATTAAGAAATCTTCGCAAGATTGCATACAGATTGCATACGCATATTTATCGCAAACACTTTTAGATTTATCCCGAACGATGCACAAGTTATGATTATTATTTTTTTGTTATTTATTTTCATTTTTATTTTTTTATTTTTGGAAATTGCACAAAAATGTTGTTTACTGACTTTGTTGCCACCTATTGGCTTCAAACACCTTTTTGTCTGTAAAAAAATCCAAAAACAACACACCGTAGTCTATAAAGTTCATGATAACCTCTAGGCGCCGTCAACCACAGGTATTGGATTTTTTGTCATTGCCCGGTTTGAAAAYTGTGCAACCTTTCGCCATCTATCACTACCGCTTTGGTATCTAGTCGCTTCGGCCCAGGCCAAAGGAGAAAAGCTGTATTATTTATCCAAATATCACGAAATATAGGTTGGGGTCACAGCATTTTCCAATAGGCACACTGTGTTTGAATCGTTTYAGACATTCTGTATTAAACAAGACAAAATTTCTTTCGTTCCATTGCTTCATGTGAGATGCTTAGCAGCACGAAAAACCCCAAAATATTCAGAATTTCTTTGTACTCAGGCATTTGCTTATACATGAAGACTGCTTCTTCTGCGTATCTAAGGCTTTTTTTAATCTTAAAACCAAGCTTTCGAYCTACGCGGCCATTTGACATYACATAAAAAGCGCGCGCACAAATTACARTGATAAGGAATGAAAAAAAAAAAAAGAAATTAATTAA